CAACTAAAATGCCGGGAACAATGGGCTAGTAACCCCTTTTCCTGTAATAACTACTAAAAAGAACAACAAGAAGAAAACTGTCAAAGTGGGATGTCTGAATGTGCATGGATGTTATGCGAATGATAAGAAAGAGAGGATTGTGGATGTTATGAATGAGAAGAAACTGGATGTCCTGGCTTTAAGTAAAACAAAGCTGAAGGGGGAGGGAGAGTTTCTGTGGAGAGGAATAAATGGGATTAGGTCAGGGGTTTCAAATAGAGTTAGAGCTAAAGAAGGAGTAGCAATAATGTTGAAGGATAAGCTATGGCATGAAAAGAGGAACTATAAATGTATTAATTCAAGGATTATGTGGAATAAAATAAAGGTTGGATGTGAAAAGTGGGTTATAGTAAGCATATATGCACCTGCAGAAGAGAGAAGTGTAGAGAGAGAGAGAGAGAGAGAGAGATTTTGGGAAATGTTGAGTGAATGCATGGGGAGCTTTGAACCAAGTGTGAGAGTACTTGTGGTTGGGGATTTTAATGCTAAAGTGGGTAAAAATGTTGTGGAGGGAGTGGTAGGTAAATTTGGGGTGCCAGGGGTAAATGAAAATGGGGAGCCTTTAATTAGTATGTGTAGAAAAAGGTTTGGTAATAAGTAATACATATTTTATGAAAAACCTAGGTAGTAGGTAGTAGACAGCAACCGCCCAGGGAGGTACTACCGTCCTGCCAAGTGAGTGTAAAACGAAAGCCTGTAATTGTTTTACATGATGGTAGGATTGCTGGTGTCCATTTTTCTGTCTCATGAACATGCAAGGTTTCAGGTACGTCTTGCGACTTCTACTTACACTTAGGTCACATTACACGTACATGTACAAGCATATATATACATACATATCCCTCTAGGTTTTCTTCTATTTTCTTTCTAGTTCTTGTTTTAGTTTATTTCCTCCTATATCCATGGGGAAGTGGAACAGAATTCTTCCTCCGTAAGCCATGCGTGTCTCTAGAGGCAACGAAAATGCCAGGAGCAAGGGGCTAGTAACCCCTTCTCCTGTATATATTACTAAATGTAAAAGGAGAAACTTTCGTTTTTCCTTTTGGGCCACCCAGCCTCGGTGGGATATGGCCGGTGTGTTGAAAGAAAGAAGATTTTATGAAAAAAGAGGATAGATAAATATACAAGGTATGATATAGCACATAATGAAAGTAGTTTGTTAAATTATGTATTGGTGGATAAAAAGTTGATGGGCAGGCTCCAGGATGTACACGTTTATTGAGGGGCAACTGATATATCGGATCATTATTTAATTGTAGCTACAGTTAGAGTAAGAGGTAGATGGGATAAGAGGAAAATTGCAACAACAAGTACGAGGGAGGTGAAAGTGTATAAACTAAGGGAGGAGGAAGTTCGGGTGAGATATAAGCAACTATTGGCAGAGAAGTGGGCTGGTGCAAGTATGAGTAGTGGGGGGGGGGGGTGGAGGGTTGAAGAGGATTGGAATAGTTTTAAAAATGCAGTATTAGAATGTGGGGCAGAAGTTTGTGGTTATAGGAGGGTGGGTGCAGAAGGAAAGAAGAGTGATTGGCGGAATGATGAAGTAAAGGGTGTGATAAAAGAGAAAAAGGTAGCTTATGAGAGGTTTTTACAAAGCAGAAGTGTTATAAGAAGAGTAGAGTATATGGAGAGTAAAAGAAAGGTGAAGAGAGTTGTAAGAGAGTGCCAAAGGAGAGCAGATGATAGAGTGGGAAAGGCACTGTCAAGAAATTTTAGTGAAAATAAGAAAAAATTTTGGAGTTAAACAAGTTAAGAAAGCCTAGGGAATGAACGGATTTGTCAGTTAAAAACAGAGTAGGGGAGTTAGTAGATGGGGAGATGGAGGTATTGGGTAGATGGCAAGAATATTTTGAGGAACTTTTAAATGTTGGCAAAAAAAGGGAGGCAGTAATTTCGTGAACTGGCCAGGGAGGTATACCATCTTTTAGGAGTGAAGAAGAGCAGGATGTGAGTGTGGGGGAGGTGCGTGAGGCATTACGTAGAATGAAAGGGGGTAAAGCAGTTGGAACTGATGGGATCATGATAGAAATGTTAAAAGCAGGGGGTAATATAGTGTTGGAGTGGTTGGTATGTTTGTTTAATAAATGTATGAAAGAGGGGAAGGTTCCTAGGGATTGGTGGAGAGCATGTATAGTCCCTTTATGTAAAGGGAAGGGGGATAAAAGAGATTGTAAAACTTATAGAGGAATAAGTTTACCGAGTTTTCCATGGGAAAGTGGAAGAGAATTCTTCCTCCATAAGCCATGCATGTTGTAAGAGGTGACTAAAATGCTGGGAGCAAGGGGCTAGTAACCCCTTCTCCTGTATAAATTACTAAATTTTAAAAGAAAAACTTTCATTTTTCCTTTTGGGCCACCCTGCCTTGGTGGGATACGGCCGGTTTGTCGGAAAAAAAAAAATTACTTAGTATACCAGAAGTGTATGGTAGGGTTATTATTGAAAGAATTAGAGGTAAGGCAGAATGTAGGATTGGGGATAAGCAAGGAAGTTTTATAGTGGGTAGGGGATGTGTAGATCAAGTGTTTACATTAAAGCATATATGTGAACAGTATTTAGATAAAGGTAGGGAAGTTTTTATTGCATTTATGGATTTAGAAAAGGCAAATGATAGAGTGGATAGGGAAGCAATGTGGCAAATGTTGCAAGTATAATGAATAGGTGGTAAGTTACTAAATGCTGTAAAGAGTTTTTATGAGGATAGTGAGGCTCAGGTTAAGGCATGTAGAAGAGAAGGAGACTACTTCAGGGTAAAGGCAGGTCTTAGACAGGGATGTGTAATGTCACCATGGTTGTTTAATATATTTGTAGATGGGGGTTGTAAAACAAGTATATGCTAGGGTGTTCGGGAGAGGGGTGGGATTAAATTATGGGGAATCAAATACAAAATGGAAATTGACAGTAACTTTTTGCTGATGATACTGTGCGTGAGGGAGATTCTAAAGAAAAATTGCAAAGGTTAGTGGATGAGTTTGGGAATGTGTGTAAAGGTAGAAAGTTGAAAGTGAACAAAGAAAAGAGTAAGGTGATGAGAGTATAAAATGATTTAGATACAGAAAAATTGGATATCAAATTGGGGAGGAGGAGTATGGAAGAAGTGAATGTTTTCAGATATTTGGGAGTTGACGTGTCGGCGGATGGATTTATGAAGGATGAGGTTAATCATAGAATTTATGAAGGAAAAAAGGCGAGTGGTGCATTAAGGTATATGTGGAGACAAAAACGTTATCTATGGAGGCAAAGAAGGGAATGTATGAAGGTATAGTAGTACCAACACTCTTATATGGGTGTGAAGCTTGGGTTATAAATCCTGCAGCGAGGAGGCAGTTGGAGGCAGTGGAGATGTCCTGTCTAAGGGCAATGTGTGGTGTAAATATTATGCAGAAAATTCGGTGTGTGGAAATTAGGACGTGTGGAGTTAACAAAAGTATTAGTCAGGGGGCTGAAGAGGGGTTGTTGAGGTGGTTTGGTCATTTAGAGAGAATGGATCAAAGTAAAATAACACGGAGAGCGTATAAATCTGTAGGGGAAGGAAGGCGGGGTAGAGGTCGTCCTCAAAAAGGTTGGAGGGAGGGGGTAAAGGAGGTTTTGCGGGCAAGGGGTTTGGACTTCCAGCAAGCGTGTGTGAGCGTGTTGGATAGGAGTGAAGGGAGACGAATGGTATTTGGGACCTGATGAGCTGTTGGAGTGTGAGCAGTGTAATATTTAGTGAAGGGATTCAGGGAAACTGGTTATTTTTATATAACCGGACTTGAGTCCTGGAAATGGGAGGTACAGTGCCTGCACTTTAAAGGAGGGGTTTGGGATATTGGCAGTTTGGAGGGATATGTTGTGTATCTTTATACATATATGCTTCTAAACTGCTGTATTCTGAGCACCTCTGCAAAAACAGTGATTATGTGTGAGTGAGGTGAAAGTGTTGAATGATGATGAAAGTATTTTCTTTTTGGGGGTTTTCTTTCTTTTTGGGTCACCCTGCCTTGGTGGGAGACAGCCGACTTGTTAAAAAAAAAAAAAAGAAAATGCAATGGAATATCACTCACATTTTCTGCTGTTTGTGATTACAAAACAAATATGGGTTAATAGCTTACTGGCCACAAATACCTAATTTTCTCCAAGTCTAAAAACTCTAGAAAGAGAGGTAGGGGTTGTCCTAGGAAAAGTTGGAGGGAAGGGGTAAAAGAGATTTTGAGTGCCAAGGGCTTGGACATCCAACAGGCTTCCTTGTGTGTGTTAGACAGTAGTGGAGACTAAGTTTTCATGGCTTGTCATGCTGTTAGTGTAAGCAAGGTAACACTTATAAAGGAATTCAGGTGAGAAGTACAGTGCCTACACTGAAACATGGATAGGGATGAAGTGGTTTGGAGGGTCATTGGAACTGTGATGTTGGTGCCCAGTGATTGAATTAGTGACCGTGAAAGTGTTTGTTTTTTTGTCGGGTCACCCTACCTTAGTAAGAGACAGCCAGAGTGTTAAAAAAATCTGAACCACCTCCCAAAATGTTTCCTCCCTCATTGGCTTCCAGCCTCAATGCCTTTTTCATCTTTGTTGTCTAATGCCCTCAAAGCAGCCACTGTCACTTTTTCAGTAGTATTTACTATTATCTTTGATAAATAAATGGGAGGGAGAGAAATAATAGAAATTATGTTAAAAATCACTAAACCACTGGGCATCATAGAGTGCAGCATCAAAGGTGTACCTCTGTATTGTCCAACACTTTCCTTTCAATCATACATCTGAGTTGTCAGTTCAACTTTATTCATTAAGATGGCAGTAATGTTGTATTTTACTATAGTAAAAGAGTTAAAAGTATTGTCAGATCACAAAGCTAATTTCATTTTTTTTTTTTTTTTGCAAAAGCGAGACATGCAAAAATGTAAATAGTAATTCTACTCCTGCAACTTAAAATAAGTGCACATTCAAGTTTACAATATGACCTGGTGAGGCATACAAAGTAGTCTTACCTGGAGTCCTACTTGTCACTGGAGAACCAATGCTCTCTCTTATATCCTCCATATGTTTACATGACTGGACATGAATTAAATAGTCATCACCTTCCTTAAAAACTTTCTTGCAAAATGTACATCTCTCATGGCCAGCTGGTGTCCTGAAATATTTATGAAGTCACTTTGAGACATCATCATATAGTCAAAGATACGATACATTCATATTTCTTTATTAGGTGACAACTATTCATGTGTACTTAAATTATGAATAATTAAAATAAACTGTTGTCACTGAAGTGAAATACAATGTTTACAGTTCTCATTTTTTAAATTGGACACTTCACTCAAATTTTTGAGAAGAGCTTTTTCTTAGCTTCTGAACCCACCACCTCTTAACTGACAACCTAGGCATATTGTACTTCCATCTGAAACACTCTATATGAAATCTACTTCTATGCTGATATCCAGTTCATACCACTTCTTTACTACTCTGATGCAGTTGTAGTGTCTTCCGGTAACTGTTATTGTGAAAATTTTCCATTCATACCCCGTTTCCTAGATCCTTCCCTGATGAGCTTTAATGTTTTCTTTTCTTGCACTTCTCCATAGTCAAGAGATTTAGTTCTTACAGTCTTTACTCAGTTCAGTCCTCTCTAGTAGAAATATCAGTCTATACACATACCTACGAGCTTTCTCAAGCTTTGCTATGGTTAAATGGTTTCATGCAGACTTTCCCTTCATACTCACAAATTTCTCATATACATGTATATCATATATTATTGGTCATAAGCATAATATGATTAATGATACTCAGCATGGATTCACGAGAGGCCGTTTCTGCCTAACTAATTTACTTTCTTCAGTAAAGCTTTTGATAAATTTCCACACTAGAGACTATTAAAGAAAGTGGCAGCTCATGGTATTGGGGGAAAAGTGCTGTCATGGATCGAGTCATGGCTCATGAACACAAAGCAGAGTGTGTGCATAAATGGGGTTAAATCTGAATGGGGATCTGTAACAAGTAGCGTTCCACAGGGATCAGTTTTAGGCTCATTGTTGTTTATAATACAGTGGACCCTCAGTTATCAGTCATAATCCGTTCCAGAAGGTCAGTCTAAAACCGAAAAGGATGAAAACCGAAATAATATTTCCCATAAGAATTAATGTGATTCAGGATAATCCATTTCAGACATCCAAAAATATTAGCAAAAATTACAATTTTTAAAGATTAAATATAGTTCTACATACAGTAAACAATGAGTACATTCATTACTTACCTTAAAATATTTGTCGTCTTAATGCAGAGCGAGAGGTGAATAGTATTTATTGGTAGGAAGTCAGTGTAGGCAGTGGTAAATGTAGGTACAGTACACATATGTAGCTCCCCCTGGGCTACACTATACAGCCATATTATTACCATGTTCACTGAGTTTAATCGTTTCTAACAACTACCTTCAGATGCCATCATAAACAAAGGGAGAAGTAATGAATAATTCATGCCAAGAATTGTAAACAAACACATATGATGGGCGGTTACTGAGCGAGATGCCAGATTCACAGTTTTCTCTAACGCTGAATCAGAGAAAACATAATGTTTACTCTCCACCTGACTCTCCACTCGATAGCATATAAACATTGCATGTTTATATGCTATGTTTATATGCTAAATGCTATGTAATGTTTCTTATATAATTTTGAAGAAAATACCATATATGGATTAATGAAAATGTCTATATTAACTTAAAACAAGACATTTAAAGTGCCCAAGAGTGATTATTATTAAATATACATCGCATATAAACATTACTACTCCCTGCCTTGCTGCTACACTCCCTGGATGCCTGCTACACTCCCTGCATGCCTGCTACACTCCCTGCCTTCCTGCTACACTCCCTGCATGCCTGCCTGCCTTGAACTCTATCATGTTTCTCACTTTTTTTTTACCAATAGAACTTTACTAGGAACTTTCTTTGGGACCATGGTTACATATTTCACAGTTGCACTTAATCAGTAACCACCAAAAACAATGGATTACAGCAAAATGTTTGGGTGAATGAGCAGAAGCTTCCTCACTTTCCCAGACACACAGCCACACTGACACAGGAATGCGCGAGCTGACGCATCCAATACCACCAATAGGTGAAACAGCTGATAACAGGAAGCCGAAAAATAGGCTGATAACCGAGTTGGCCGATAAGTGGAATGGCCGATAACCGAGAGTTCAAGGGAATTATTAGTGATATGAGCAAATTTGCTGATGACACGAAGATAGGTAGGATAACTGATTCATATGTAGATGTCGTGGAACTTCATGAGGAGTCAAACTCAATTCCTGGTCAGAAAAGTGGCAGATGCAATTCATTGTAGATAAATGCAAAGTTCTGAAGCTGGGGAATGTTCATAACCTTAGCCCTTATCAACTAAATAATGTAAAACTTAGCTTCACAGAATGTGAAAAGGACTTGGGGGTTATGGTAAGCAACAATCTTAAACCAAGACAGCAGTGCCTAAGCATACATAATAAGGCAACTAGATTACTGGGATTTATACCGAGAAGTGTAAGCAACAGAAGTCCAGCGGTTATACTACAGCTTTATACATCATAAGTAAGGCCTCACCTAGATTATGCAGCTCAGTTCAGGTCTCCATATTACAGAATGGATATAAATTCATTAGAAAAAGTTCAATATAGCATTAGAAATCTTCCATGTGAAGAAAGATTGAAGACCCTTAAATTACATTCAATTGTAAGACGAAGAATGAGGGGAGACATGATCGAAGTGTATAAGTGGAAGATAAGTACATTAATAAAGGGGATATATATAAGGTCTTGAGGATATCTCTCCAAGAAAGAACCCATAATAATTGATTCAAATTAGACAAGTTTAGATTAACCTGGAGTATACCTGGAGAGGGTTTCGAGGGTCAATGCCCCCACATCCCAGTCTGCAACCAGGCCTCATTTAGAAAGGATATATTATATGGATATATAACAAGCTGATAAACTGAAATAAAGTCTGTCCCCAGGACCCAACGAACTGTTTTCAAGGATATTTAAAGAGAGCAAGTGGGAATTTAGTCAGCTGTTAACATGCCTGTTTAACACATCAGTTCAAACTGGTGTTGTTCCGAATTTCCGACGTGGAAGATGGCCAGTGGCAGCTCATGACACCAGTAATACCTATACTATCGTACTGCATCAAACTTCTATTTTTAATCATTTTATATTGTTTCAACAAAAAAAAAATAAAAAAATATGCTTATAAATTGAAAACAACATACAACATATTTTCCCTGTAATATATTTCTCAGTTGCAAATTATTTTAGTGTAAGGTTGATGAAGTCATACATCTGGCAGTGAGCATCTGGGGCGACTGCAGCTCTGTAGTTCCTATGGATGAGCCACCACTGAAGATGGCTAATGTAATCCTATCTTTAAATCAGTGGATAAATCAATTCCATCAAAACACTACCCAATAAGTCTGACAAACTGTAGGCAAATTGTGAAAGTCAATTATAGCAATACAATACAAAGTCACCTTAATGAGCATGATTTTATCAAGTCTCAACATAGTTTCACTAGAAGGTATGCCTGCCTCACATTTTTGCTGACCTCCTTTAATAATGTATTCGAGATTGTGGACCATGGTAAAGAATATTTTGTTTGGAGTTTAATCAACCTGTCGACATAGTACATCACGAAAAACTCAAGAAATGTGGCAACTCATGGTATAGGAAGAAAGGTTCTAACATTGATCAAGGCATGGGTAACCAATATTAAAGCAGTGCTTGCATATATGAAGTGAAATCTGAATGGTGTCCAGTCACTTGTGGCATTCCACAAGGATCAGTTTTAGGCCCATTGTTGTTAATAATTTACATTAATAACCTTGACATAGGAATAACTAATGACATGAGTAAATATGCTGATGACATAAAAAAAATTCCAAATAACAGATTCTGAGGAAGATATTATTGAACTTCAGGAAGATCACAGTACCAGAAGCAGTCAAAGAAGTAGCACCAGCACAGTCACAGTAGCACCAGCACAGTCACAGCAGCAGCAGCACAGTCACAGCAGCAGCAGCACAGTCACAGCAGCAGCAGTCACAGTAGTATTACAATCACAGTAGCACCAGCACTCACAGAGGCAGCAGCAGTTATAGTAGTAGCAGCACACAGTAACAGCAGCAGTTACAGTAACACTAGCAGTCACAGTAGCAGCAGCAGTAATCAGTCACAGTAGCAGCAGCAGTAGTCACAGTAGCAGCAGCAGTAGTCAGAAACAGAAGCAGCAGCATTAGTCACAGCAGCAGCAGCAGTAGTCACAGTAGCAGCAGCAGTCACAGCAGCAGCAGCAGTAGTCACAGTAGAAGCAGCAGTAGTCACAGTAGCAGCAGTAGTCAAAGCAGCAGTAGTCACAGAAGCAGTAGTCAGTCACAGTACCAGCAGCAGTAGTCACAGTAGCAGTAGTCACAGCAGCAGTAGTCAGTCACAGTAGCAGCAGCAGTAGTCACAGTAGCAGCAGTAGTAGTCACAGTAGAAGCTGTAGTCACTCACAGTAGCAGCAGCAGTAGTCATTCACAGTAGCAGCAGCAGTAGTCAGTCACAGTAGCAGCAGTTGTCACAGTAGCAGCAGCAGTCACAGTAGAAGCAGCAGTAGTCAGTCACAGTAGCAGCAGCAGTAGTCACAGTATAAGCAGCAGTATCAATTCACAGTAGCAGCAGCAGTAGTCACAGTAGCAGCAGCAGTAGTCACAGTAGTAGCAGCACCAGTCACAGTAACAGCAGTAGTCATTCACAGTAGCAGCAGTAGTCATTCACAGTAGCAGCACCAGTCACAGTAGCAGCAGCGGCAGCAGTCACAGTAGCAGCACCTGTAGTCAGACACAGAAGCAGTAGTCACTCGCAGCAGTAGTCAGTCACAGTAGCAGCAGTAGTAGTCAGTCACAGTAGAATCAGCAGTAGTCACAGTAGCAGCAGCAGCAGCAGTCACAGTAGCAGCACCAGTAGTCAGACACAGAAGAAGCAGTAGTCACTCACAGTAGCAGCAGTAGTCACAGTAGCAGCAGCAGTAGTCACAGTATAAGCAGCACCAGTCACAGTAACAGCAGTAGTCATTCACAGTAGCAGCAGCAGTCAGTCACAGTAGCAGCAGCA